AATCTGTGTAGTTGGTGGATACTGATAAGGTTTATTACAATAGGTGCATATATTTTGAATATTAATATAACAATTCATTTTTCTTTTAATATATATGATTTTAATTTAACAAAATAAAATACACCTTATTTATATTTTCTGGTAATATAAAAAAAAATTATTTCTTTGTTTTATTTTTTTATTTAATATTTATTTATATATTTATTATTATTTATATATTGGAAATTTTCTTTTGAAACTTGTAAAATGTAAATATATTTATTATTATATGTATTTTATACGAAAAAAAAAAAAAAAAAAAATATTTTTGAAAGAAGCTTATTAAATATTTAATGATAGAAAAAAAAGAAACCCCCTCCCCCAATGAAAATAAATTTTTTTTTTTTTTTTTTTTTTTTTTTTTTTTTATACGAGTAAATGAGTGTTTTTTATTATAATTTATTTATTTTTCTTGTTTAAATTGTTGGGGGGATATGTAAAATACCAAGTAAACAATTTAAATAATGTAAAATAAAGTAAAAGTTTAAGGAAAAGGTCCTTTAAAGTAACTCTTTTGCTTTACAAAGTAATAAATATAATAAATAAAAAAAAAAAATGTAATTTTAAAAAAATAAAAATTTTTATTTTTTTATTTTTTTTAAATTTATTTTTAATTATTAATGGATTTTAGTGATTTTTTAAATGAAAAATTATTTGTATTAGATGATACAATAAAAACATCCAGTGTAAAAGGGTCAACAGATTTAAAATTATGTTTGGTTTCAGCGATCAGTTTAACAGATTTTATCAAAAGTTCGCTTGGACCTAAAAGTGGTGATAAATTAATAGTTGATGAAAATGGTGATATCATAGTAACAAATGATGGTTATTCTATAATAAAGTATTTATCAAGATCTTCAAAAATTGAAAGTGACAATGATAACAGTGGTAATAATAGTTATAATATTGGTAATAATATTAATGATAATAATAATAATAATAATAATAATAATAATAATACAAGTAGTAACAATCAAACTTTTTCAAATAAATCAACTATCGAAAGAAAGAGGTTTCAATCTATAATAGAATTATTAATTGACACATGCAGAACTCAAGAGAGGCTATATGGTGATGGTACGACATCGGTATTGGTTTTAGTGGGTGCACTATGTTCAAATGCAATGAAATTAATCTATGAAAAAGGAATACCGCCTCATAAAGTTGTAGAATCATTTCAAAAATCTTTAAAAATAGCTTTAAAACTATTAAATAATTATTATTTACCGGTTAAAACAACATATGATAATAGTAACACCAGTATAGAAAATAATTGCAACGAAATAACATTAGAAAAAGTAACACAAAGCTCTTTACTATCAAAATCAATTAGTTTTTATAAAAAAGAATTAACAAATATTTCAATTCAGTCAGTAAATTTAATATTTGACTATTGTAAATCAATTTATAATAATAACAAAATAATAGATAGTAATAATAATAATAATATAAATAATGATATAAATAAAAATAATATTAAAATTGATCAAAAAAGAATTAAAATTAAATGTATTGAAGGATCAAAATTAGAAGATACCAAATTAATTAAAGGTGTTTTAATAAAGAGGTTCTTTTCACATAAAAATATGCCAAAGATAATAGTAAATTCAAATATACTGGTTTTATCGTGTCCTTTAGAGTTTCCAAAACCAAAAACAAACTTTTCAATTACAGTCAACAGTTTAGAAGAGTATGAATCAATTTTAAAAGTCAAGAGCCAATACTATCAAAATATAATAGCAATAATAGAGGCAATTGGTGTTACCAATTTGGTTATAGTATGCCAATGGGGGATTGATCAAGAAATTAACCAATATTTAAGCAACAAGAAAATCTCCGCGGTTTGTTGGGTTCCAGGAGATGATTTAGAAAGAATTTCCAGTATCAAGTGGTGCTATAATTATAAGTGATATTTTAACATTCTCAACAAGTAAAATTAATAGTAACTATATTGGCCATTGCGAAAGAATTAGTGAAATAGTTATGGGTAATGACAGCAGTAATAGGTATATAGAATTCTCCGGATGTACATACTCAAGTACAGTAACTATATTGGTTAGAGGCGGCAGTAAAGAAATGTGTGAAGAAACAGTTCAATGTTTAAGGGATTCAATTCACATCGCATCAGGCTGTTTAAAAAATCCAAAGGTGGTTCCTTCAGGTGGCTCGACTGAATTATTTCTATATTCTCAATTCCAAAATCAACAGTTTTTTAACAATAGCGATAATAATAAAAAGGAATTCTCAACAATACAGATAATGGCAATGAGGTCATGGTCGGAATCATTATTGTCAATTCCAATTACACTATTAGAGAATGGTGGTTATGATTGCCAAGATATTTTAATGAAATTAATTAAACTTCACAACGAAACCAACATCAACAAATACTATGGCGTCGATATTAACAATATCGAATCTTTTGATTTGTACAGTTGCAACCAAGAGAAACTATTAAATGAAAATCAATCAATTATACAGGATATGAAATTTAAGAGTTGGGAATTATTAGGTCTAAAAAAATCAATTTTAAAACTTGCAACTGAAACAGCATGCATGTTGCTTTCAATAGATTCTTTTATTTCATTATAAAAAAAACACCCTCAACTAAAAAAATCAATACCAAAAAAGGAATAAAAAAATACAATTTAATAAATTAAATCATTATTTAATTTAATTAATTTTAAAAAAAATTTTAATTTTTATTTTTTTTAAAATTTTTTAATTTTTTTTTACAATATTTTTCATATTAATGCATAGAAATAATAAATGAATAATAGTAAAAATATATTAAAAATAGTACACCCAATTATACAAGCACCAATGTTAGGTGTAACGAGTCCTATGATGGTTGCCAAATCGTGTGAAGCTGGTATTATGGGATCACTACCATTAGGGGGATTATCACCAACACAATCAAGAGAACTGATAAAGAAAACCAAATCTTTAACATCCAAACCATTCTCTGTAAATTTATTTGTTAACGAACCAAATGATGTCATCAAAGACCAAAATCAATATAGAGGAATGATCGAATATTTAACAAATCATCAAGAGTTAAAGAGAAATAATCTTGTTGAGGAATTAATGAAATCGTTACCAGAATCAGTAGAACAATTAAAACTATATTCATATCATGATCAAATAGATATTTTATTAGAAGAGGGAATAGATATAATCAGTTTTACATTTGGTATATTGGATAATGAAACCATTGAGAAAATTAAAAATAAGAACCCAAATTCAATACTTATAGGAACTGCAACATGTCTAAAAGAAGCTTTATTATTAAACTCAACTAAATACATCGATATGATATGTTTGCAAGGTATTGAAGCAGGTGGACACAGAGGTTCATTTTTAATAAATAATAATAAAAGTAGTGGGTTCAACGATCACCCAATTAATATCGAAGATTTACCACAAATTGGGCTATCAACATTAGTTTCATCAGTTTTAAATAAATGTACATTACCAATTATTGCATCTGGGGGAATTTCCGATAGAAGAACAATTCAAGGTAAGTTTTTTTATGACATAAAAAAAAAAAAAAAAAAAAAAAATAGTAATAATAAAATAACATACTTTGGTTTATATTTAGGTTTTTTAAATATGGGTGTACAATATGTTCAAATAGGTTCATTCTTTATCGGCTCAAATGAAAGTAATGCAATTGAATATTGGAAGGATAAAATGATTGAGTCTACTGATACAAGTACTCAACTAACAAGATCATTCTCGGGTCGTTATGCAAGAGGAATTAAAAATCAATTCATGGATATACTAGAATCAAACTATAACCCATTGATTCCAATTCCACCTTATCCAATTCAAAATGAAATTACCAAATCATTAAGATCAATTGCACAGAAATCAAATAATGGCCAATTTACAAACTTATGGTCTGGTCAACAAGGTTTCAAAACTAAAAAACTGCCAATTTCTGATTTAATTAAAGAATTAATTTAAACAATGGGGTGAAATTTCCAAAAATTTTTTTTTTTTAACCACACCATTTCCAAAAAAATAAATAAAAATAAACAGTAATAAAGCAAATAGTATATCTAAAAAAACTCAAAATAAACACAAAATGACAAACTATTATTTTTATTACCTTTTTTTAAAAAAATAACGTATATGTCCTTTTTTGATTTAATTCTAATAATAAAAAAATTTAAAAAAAAAAAAAAAAATTAAAAAAAATTTTTAAAAAATTTAAAAAATAATTTAAAAAAAAAAATTATTTCATTTTTTACAAAAAACCTTTTAATGGGACCATTTTTTATTTATAAAACTAAACACAATCAATCATTAATAACATATAATAACAATAACAACATTAGATAATTGGTTTATTATTCACTTAAAAATTGTAAATAACACATACAAATCATAATAAAAGCAAATTTACAACTTTTTTTTTTTTTAAAATTTTTAAAAAAATAAAAAAAAAAGGTTGTTAATTAAATTAATATATTAGAATAACTAATAATAATAGTGGTATAATAAAAATATAATATATTTTATTTATAAAACTTATAATTTATGGAGGTTTTAAATAACCAACAAACAAATCAAAGTAAAAATGATACTGAAAATAAAGAGGCAATAAAAATTATAGGAAAAGGAAGAGAAGAAGAATATGAAGAGATTAAAATAATAGGAAAAGGTAGTTTTGGAAGAGCCATACTGGTAAAAAGAAGATCCGATGGTTTATTATTGGTATTAAAGGAAATTAATTTAATAGAAATGTCATCAAAGGAAAGGAATGATGCGATGAATGAAGTTAGACTACTATCAATGTTAGAGTAAATATCATTTTTTTATTATTATTATAATAATAATAAAATTTTATTTTAAAAAATTAATTTTTAATTTTTAAAAAATAACTAATGTTTAATTTTTTTAGTCATAAAAATATTATTAGTTATTATGATAGCTTTATTTTGAATGGTAGTCTTAATATTGTAATGGAATACGCAAATGCAGGTGATATTCATTTAGAAATAAAAAAACGTACACTTCAAAATAAAACTTTTTCAGAATTTGAAATATTATCGTGGTTTACCCAAATTTGTGAAGCAATTCAATTCATATTTACAAAAAACATATTACATAGAGATTTAGTAACTATAGGATAACTATTTATTATTTAGGTTATAGTATCAAAAAACTAATTGTCAATATATTATTTTAAAACAGAAAACCCAAAATATATTTTTATCAATTGTCGACGGAAATTATTATATTAAGATTGGAGATTTTGGAATAGCGAAAATTTTAAGTTCAGATACAAGTTTAGCACAAACAGTTATCGGAACACCATATTATTTATCCCCCGAAATTTGTGAAGATAGACCTTATGATCATAAGAGTGATATTTGGTCGCTAGGTTGCATATTATACGAACTCACAACATTAAAGCACGCATTTAATGCAGGAAATTTACCTGCTTTGGTTTTAAAGATTTTAAAAGGTACCTATCCTCCAATTCCATCACATTACTCAAACGATTTAAGAAATTTAATTGGATCAATGCTAAAAACAGACGCAAAAGAAAGACCTACAGTAAAAGATATTTTATCATTACCTTTTATCAAGCAATATATTGGTATACCTTTAAAACCATTTAGCGATTTAGATTCCTTAAATACAAGCACTAATAGTAGCAATAGTTCATTCTCAATTAGTTCTTCAACTGAAATTAAAAATCAAGCATTTCCAAAGTAAATATTATTCATTAACTATCACAAAAACTAACCCATTTTTTAAAAATAATTACTAATATTAAGTTTTATTTTTTATAGCATACCAATGGAAATGGCAAAAAATCAAAAAGCTTCAAATGAACAATGTGAAGCTAGTCCATCAAGATCAAAAATTACTTCAAGTAGTAACAGTAATTTTAGTAGTTCAAATAAAAGTACACCACCTTTATCACCAAAAAAATTATCAGCATCATCTTCACCACCATTATCCTCTTCTTCAACTTCAACTTCGAGTTCGAGTTCTTCAAGTACACCTAAAACCACCAAACCAACAACAATACAACCAAAAACTTCGACCCCATCCACCAAAACGCCATCCAAACCAGTTTTAGCAATTAAGACCCCAATTAAACCAGCTTTAACAAAGACACCCCTTATTAAAACTCCTCTTACCAAAACACCTCTTATCAAAACACCTCTTATCAAAACTCCTCTTACCAAAACACCTTTATTAAAAACTACCCTATCATCCAAAACCCCATTATTGAAAACTCCTTTACCAAAAACACCCTCTAGAATATCACCAAAACCACAACCCTCACCAAAAAAAATCATAACAAAAAAAGCTCCTGTCCCAAATCCTACCCCAACATCCACATCCTCTTTTAGACCAACAACACCATCAAAAGATAGACAACCTGTAAATAATCAAGAAACTTCAACTACAACCACCAAATCAACACCATCCACTTCTAGAAGTGTTACACCTATCAATACAACACCTGTAAAGTCACAATCACCAAATTTCACATCAAACACAGCCTCACCACCCAGTCTTTCGAATACAAGCGGAAAATCATCCTCATCCTCTTTTAATAGATCTGCTTCCTCCATAAGTATTCAAAGACCATTGGCTAGTAACACAACTACAACAACAACAACTACAACTACAAACAAATCTTCAACAACCCAAAATAGACCATCTTTAAAAACTACTAAATCAATGTTAGATTTACCAACCACAACAGTAGCTACCACTACTAAATCCACATCATCATCATCATCATCATCCACAAGAGCAACTCCTTCATCCGGTAGACTATCATTATCATCATCAATCCCAAGACCTTCAGCCTCAAACTCTACCACACCAATTAAATCTAGTACTATCACACCAACTTCAACACCAATCAGACCTACAACACCAAGCTCAGCAAGAATCACTACAACACCAGCTAAAACAACTTCTAAACCCCCTCCAACAACCCCTAATAAATCTACAACATCACCAACAGTTAATACAACTCCAAGCAAACAAACATCATCAAAAATAGCACCAGTAACACCAAATAAAACCAATATAAACATACAACCAACTTTAGCGGTTAATAGTAAATCAACGTCACCAAATAAATCAACACTATCACCCTCCACACCAAGAAATGGTACTTTAAGAAAGAGAAATGATTTTAAGTCTGAAGAATTAAATTATAGAAGCAAATTAAACTCAATTAAATTATCAAGTTTTAGAACACCCCCACCAACAACTGAGAAGAAGTTGACCAACAAAGTTAAAATAAATAATTTAAAAGCAAAAAATCAAGAAATTATAAATAATATTATTTTAGATAATAATAAACCAATACTTTCTAGTAGCAGTAGTTCAGTATTTAGCGAAAGTGATTACTCTACCAATACCACTAATACATCAACACCAAATAGTTTAAATAGTAGTTTAAATAGCTCGTCAAGATCAAATATTAAATCTTTATTAAATAACAATAACAACGAGGCTCCAGAATCAAACAATAACGAAAACATTAACAATAATAGTTTATCACAACCAGACAACGCAACCATTGGTAATTTAATAAACTATAATAATAATAACAATTCTATTATAAATGAAAATTTAGGCGAAAAAAGATTACAATCAAGAATTAATGCACTAAAACAGTTAGTATTTCTAAATATTTTAAAATAACTATAATTTTTAATAAATATACTAATTTAACTTTCTTTATTCAGATTTTGTAATAGTATTTTTGGTAATAAACTATTCAATGAATCATATCTATTGTTAAAATCATTAAGTAAAGCTAATGATGGCATTGAAGAAAATAGAATTCAAGAGCAACTTAATCAAATATTATTCGATAAACTATACTATTTAAAATATCTTCAACAACTAATGTATTGTGAAGAACAATTAGAAGTATTGGAAATAAAATAAAATAAAATACTTAAACAAAACAATTATTATTTTTTTTTTTTTTAAAAAACTAAATATATATTTGAATAAATTTATTTAAAAAATATCTATTATTTATTCATTGTTAAAAAAAAAATTCTATTGTACCATTTATTTAATATTTTTATTCTTGGGGACCTGACAAACCCAAACCATCTAAACCTAAACCTTCTTCAATTGATTTTACAAGATTAGTAATATATTTCTTTGTTACACGTACTCTATTTTTCATATCTTCAGCATTGATTAAAGCTACATTGATATATACAGATTCAGAGAGTAATTCCGTGATACCCTCTGCATTGGCTTGTTGATATTCGAAAAATGTTTTACCTGGTACATTATCAGAAAGATAATAACCAAAAACATAAGTATACTTTAAAATTCTACGGCATTCTATTAAAAGTTCGATTGCTTCTTGAAGGAAATCGGGATTAAGATTTGTCAATTCACGGAACTGGTTCATTTTATCTTCCATTTCTTCTTCTCTCATTTTTATAGCGTGCTTCATTAACATGTCATGATTGAAGTAACGTGTAAAATAATGAAGGAAACGATCCGATTCTTGTTTAACCATTGCTGAACTTTCATCTGCTTTTTTACCATCTGATTGTTCATATTTATTACAACTATAAAAACCTCCTGTATGTTGACCATGTGTTTTCCAAGGTCCTCTACACATCCAACACCATTCTCCTCCACAACCACCTTGCTCTTTACGACATACCATATGATTACATCCTAAATTATAGAATTAATAAAAATTAGTTTATAATTAGATTTGATTGGATTTTAAAGTTATATATTTATCTTACCTTGTATACGCTCTGTTGGCATGCCACAATGATAGCAAGGTTTACATGTTGCTTTAATTAATTTAAGACTTTCTTGATCATTACTATTTTTAGATTTCCATTCCTTTAATTGGGCACAACTTACTGGATTATGTTTTTCACTACCACAACTAAAACAAAAACGAGTGCCGCAATGGCATTCGACAACATCACTTGGTCTACCAACACCAGAAAACTTAATTGCATTACCACAGGTTGGATTTGGGCAAAATTCTAAATGTTTATCGTTACTAACAAAATCTTTTGTTACAAAATACCAATATCTATTATAATCTCTTTCACTTGCTAAATCTTTCCAGTTTTCATATGTAAGTTTACCATTACATAATGGATAGATACACTTTGAATGTATAATTTCACTACCACAACTTTGCATTTCTTGATGAAGATATGTTTTCCAACAGCCTAAACAATATGGACCATGGCCACATGGCAAACTATAAAAGTCACCATTTGATTGTTCAAAGCAAATAATACAGACTGAGTTTTGTGGGAAGTGAGAAATTGATGTATTATCATAATTACTTGCATTTGATGGATTGATTATACCAGCTTTCGAACAGTATGATTCTGGATCTTCAAAATACTCTGATAATATTCTATCAACATCCCATTTAAAATATTGTAATAATAAAATTGCATTTCCGGGTTTTAAATCAATTTGATCGGATAAAGTATTTGCCATTTCTTTAATTTGGTCCTCTAATCCTTTTTTTTCTAATATTGTAAATAGAGGCTCTTCTTCATCCTCCTATATTATTTTAATAAAAAAAAAAATTATTAATTATTTATTAAAAAAAAAAGAATGAAAAATTTAAAATAAACAAAACATACCTGATCCTCTTCTAAAAACCAATCACTTGGATCATAGTCACCTATATCAATATCTGATGCAGTTTCGCTCATATATGATGAAGCATCGTCGCTCATCTCTAAATCCTTTCTGAAACTAATTGAACTGAGATATTTTAACATTTTTTCATCTGTTTCGCCTGTTAAATCTCTTGATGATCTTCTATTGGTAGAAACTATTGAGCTTCTTCTTAATATTGATGAGAATGAACCTCTTCTTTGTGATTTTCGCATTGGAGATGGTGTATGAAAACCTTGAGGTTTATATGTTTCGATTGTATCACCGCTACTATCCATTTTCTAAAATATTTTTTTTATACTGTATTTGTAAATATTATAATTATTTGTAACTTAAAAAATAAATCTAATATAATAAATAAAAAAAAAAATAAAAAAAATTAAATTAAATATTTATTTTAAAAAAAAAAATAATTTAAAAAAACACTTTATTAGAATTTATAATATTTATTTAAAAAAAAAAATATTTAATTTAAAAATATTTAATTTAAAAAAAAAAAAAAAAAAAAAAAAAAAAAAAACTAATAAAACTAAAACGAAAATGGATAAAAAATTAACATACAAATAGTATTAAAATTGATAACTTTTATTATTTTATAAATAAATAATACCCAAATAAAAAAAAATTATTTTAGTGGTCTTTTATTTAAATAAAAAACAATGTATAATCTTAATTCCAAAACTACAGTTTTAATAAATGATAACTTTAGTTGTTGTTATTAATAATACAAGGTCTATTAAAATAAAAAAAATTATAATAAATATCTAATATAACAATTTATTGATATTAAACTATTATTATTGTATTATTTTTTTATGTATAGTTAATAATTGTAGTAGGTGGGATTTTTTTGTTTTATTAAAAGTTTAAAAGAAAAATTTTTTTATTTTTTTTTTATTTTTTTTTATTTTATAAAATTATTAAAATTTAAACAAACTTAAGTGTGGTGTGTGTGAGAATAAAAATTAAAAAAAAAAATTTTGAAGTGGGGTGTGTTTAATTTCATTGTTTTTTTAGTATATTAGGTTATAGTAAAATGGTATTAAACTTTTAATGAGAACAGGTAAAACTATGAAGGTGGGAGGAAGAAAATAACAATTTTGATTATGTGGAAATATTATTATAGTGTTGTGGGGGATCCATATATCACAAATCCGGAAATTTAATGTGGAAGAAATAATAAATTATTAACTTTTCATACAAACATTAAAGTGTGTGAGGGTGAAAATATTTTAAATTATATATTATTATCATTAAATCTGTATACTTTTTTTAAATATTCTTTTTGAGTTTTATATGATATAAAATAAAAATTCTACAAATATTTAGTTTTTTTTTTTTTTTTTTTATAAATCTAATTTTATTTTTTATTTTATTTTATATTTATTTTTATTTACATATAATGATTATTTTATTACTATTTTTGTTTTATTTATGTCAATGAGTGTTTTTGTGTTGCGGACATAGCTTTTTAAGTCTATCCCAAAATTCTTCTGAGGGCACTTCATTATTATTATTATTATTATTATTTTTATTATTATTTTTATTATTATTATCATAAAATCTAAATTGTACTTTATCTAAATCATCTTTATTTAAATATCCAATAAAAAATTTATTTAATTTCTAAAAATAAATTTAAAAAATTAGTATAACTATTGTATAGTTGAATGTATTATCTGATCTTTGTTTTTACCTTAAATGACAAATCTGATCTATGATATATTTCAAAGTAATATGCACAATCTCTATCCAAACCTGATAATATGGAGTCTCCACCAGGATGTTTATCTATCCATCTGATTTCCATTTTTGTATTGTAACTATTAATATCATTATAATTTTATTATAATATATTTCTATATAATATTTAATACTTTACCTTGTTACATCATATATACAATTGTCAATAATCATCCAAAAATCTTTACTAGACTGATGTTTTAAAACTTCTTCCAGTGAATAATATTTATTTTTTCTAAGTGCTAATAATCCAAGATATTGTGTGAGTTGATTTTTTAAACCTAAAACTCTTAACTCTTCCATTATTTCTAGCATACTATTTAAATAATCTTCATCTACATTTTCTTTGAAATTATATTGTAAACTTTCATAGTCCTCTAAGTGTTCTTCTACCCAATCACAATAATCCAATACTAAATAAAATAAAAAATTAATATTAAATTAAAAAAAAAAAAAAAAAAAAAAAAAAATAATTAAATTTATTTTTAATTTTATTGTAATTTATATTTATACTTACAAAAATCGATGTATTGTGAGTCTAAATCCAGATTATATTTATCTATATTTTTATTGTCTACATTTATTGAATCTATTAACTGTTTCACTGTTGAAGATACCTCAATTTCCTCACCATCCGATGTCACTAGTGTTATTATTTTCATTGTGTTTATTATTACTGAAGACTATACGTTGTATACGCTCGTATATTTATAAATTTGGAAGAAATCTTGGATTATGAGGTAAAGCAGTTGAAAAGTTATTATTATTTTTAATTATTTTTTTTTTTTTAATTTTAAAAATTCGGTCAAATTTTTTTTTTTTAATTTTTTTAATTTTTTTTTTATTTTTTAATTATTATTTTTTTAACAAAGAATAGATATCTTTTTTAAAATTTTTTTTTAAAAAATAACTATATATATATTTATATATAAATTCAATCTATTTTATTTTTTTTATTTGAAAATAAAAAAATAAATAAAAAAAATAATGATAGATCAAAATATTACCAATATAACCAATATTATTTATAATGGTAATAATAGTTCAACATTTTCATTAATTGAAACAGTCAAAAATGGTAATTTAAAAGGGTGTATTAGCTTTATCGAAAAAATAAGATTACAGAACCCAAGTTTGGACTTAAGCGAAATCATAAATGGTGGTGACGAATCTGGAAATACAGCATTACATTGGGCATGTTACAAAAAACTATATGATATAGTTAAATATTTATTATCAATGGGAGCCGATCCAAATATACCCAATACAGACGAACTACAAACACCATTTCACTGGGCATGCATTGGTGGAGATCTATTCATTATAAAATATGTGTTCAACAACGGTGGTGACCCACACCTTCAAGATAAACGTGGTTACAACTCATTAATACACGCAACTCAATACAACGAAATCAGTGTTTGCAGATATTTGATTGACAAAGGTGTAAATGTAGACTCTCCAGATTTTTTACAAAAGACCACTCTTCACTGGGCTGCCTATCAAGGTCATACCCAATTAGTTTTATTTTTAGTTAATAAAGGTGCTGACATCAATGCATTGGACTCCATTGGCAGATCTCCTTTGCACTGGGCCTGCTTCAAAGGTAACAGCGACCCAATCAAAGCATTGTGCGATTTTGGCTCAAAAACCAACGAAAAAGATCACAACAACCAAACACCATCCGATATCTGCAAATCTAAAGATTTTAAATATCTAACAAACTACATCACTACATTCCCATTTCACCCATTTAGAAAAATTGGCCCAGTAAGTTTTAAAACCACCCACATATAAATTTTAAAAAAACTTAAAATACTAATTTTATTTATTTATACTAAATTTTAGTTATTATATAATGTAATTTGGATTTTAATGTCATTTTCTATACAAATTTTATTTGGCTTCATTATTTATTACTTTTCATTTATACCATCTTTAATATTACTAGTCGCTACAGCAGCATTATGTAAATTATTTATAGAACCAATTGCATTACCAAATTCACCCAACCCATTTTTGGCAACTTGGATGATCACATCATTCTCTGTTTGGGTCATTTATTATATCAGATATATTATACCAGCATTCCCAGTATATATTTTAACACATATAACTACACTATTTATTTTATCAAGTTTCTATTATTGTGCATTCAAACTATTTTTCAGCGATCCAGGTACAGTATCAGCCTCGACAACCTCTCAAGACTCTATCGATTTTATGAATTCTGTTGAAAAAGAATTAGACATACCCGAAGTATGTTCGACTTGTTTAATTAATAGACCCATTAGAGCCAAACATTGCAGAACTTGTAAAAAATGTGTCGCACGTTTCGATCATCATTGTCAATGGATCAACAATTGTGTTGGTGTCAATAACAATTTATTATTTATTTTCCTTTTAATTTCATTTGTAATTTCATATTTATTTAGTATGATTTTTAATTTCAGATGTAATGTATCCAATAATAATCATAAAGTTTATAAATGTGGATGAATCAATACTAATCGATATTATTATTATTTTATATTAATTAACCTATATATAGATTTAGGTATGGATGAGAATGCACCCATTTTTTCTGATGCAAAATGGGGCGAATGGTTTGGTTATCACTATGGCACCTATAAAGGTTTAATTTTATTTATGTTTTATGAGACTTTAGTTTTATTGTGGTTATCCAGATTATTATATGTTCAAATTACAGGTGTAATTAACAATGTAACCATGTTTGAACTTATGAGACCACCCAAAGGATCAAAAAAGAAATGTTGCAATCAACATGCTCAAGAATCATCACAACAAAAAGAGAGTGATGTTGCAATTCCAATCAAATCAGATCAAGACAACGATAATGACGAAGACGATGATGATGATGATGAAAATAAAAACCCATCAAATAAATCATTTAATAAAAATTCAAGAGATTTGGATCCAACTGAAACTAATTTTAGAGACTCCATTTTAATACCAAATAGAAATCATAACTCTGATGATCACAATCCATTCCACAGAGGTTCAGCACGTGAAAATATTAGAGAATTTATTTATGACACCTCAAAATGGTTTAGATATACAACTTTAAAACAATTTTAAAATTCAAAATTAGAAAATAAAATAAAATAAAAAATTATAATTTATTTATTTATTTATTTATTTATTTAATACCCATATTTTTTATTTTATTTCTGTATTATAAATAAATATTTTTTCTAAATTTAGAAATTATTTGTCTTTTTTCAAATAATTGTTTTTTTTATTAATAATATTTGATAATAAAATTTTAAGTTTTAATCAAGTTTCAAGTGTTTTGAATTTATAAATACAAAAATAGAAATAATTTTAAATTTTAATTATATTTTTTTTTTAATTTAATTTATTTTAAAAAAAAATCAAAAAAAAATAAATTTTTTTAATTTAATTTTTTAATTTTTTTTTTTAATTTTTTTGTTTTATAATAATTTATTTTTTAATTATAATAGCTAATATTTCTGCATTCACACAATTGAAATTAATAAATAAATAATAATATTAGTATAAAATAGATAATAGTTAATTTAAAAAAGTTTTTATATATTTCATAATTTGTTTTTTAATAAATCTTCTATTTGCTATAGAGTTTCTTTTTTATTTTTTTGGTCAATAATAGTAATTAGAAAATAAACCACACACAAAAAAAAATAGTATCACTTTTTTAAGTGATTAAAAAAAAAAAAAAAAAAATATTAATAATATAGACAGTTCATATATATATATAATAATAGTTTTAATGTTTAAAAAATATATTTAGCTTCTCTTCCTATTTTTTTATTTTTAATATAATAGAAAAAGGAAAAGAAGAATTTGGTAAAATAGTTTTTGTTTGTTTTTTAAATAAATGTTATAGACCCTAAATAAATTAGTATCCAATATTTATTATTGCATGTAAATAAAAAAGCTTTTAGAAAAATAAAAATAGAATAATTAAATAATATAAATTTTAAAAAAAATAAATGGATAATAATAGTAATAATAACATTTTTAGTTCTAATAATGATAATGATCAAAATCAATTAGAAATGGAGGTTGATAGAGGTATATCGGGTGGTCTAAGTAGAAATGTTGTATATGTGGAGGAGGTATTTCTAGATGAACAACAGCAACAAGAAGAAGAAAGTGATCAAGATGAAATCGAAATTTTCAGAAACTATTTACGTAGCCGTGTTCGTCCAAGTTATTACAACAATGAAAATTTTAGAATCGACAATACTGTAGAGGATATAGAGTTCTATGGGGATGATAGTAGCCAAGAGTATGAAGAAGACACCACAAACAATGCTGTTGAAGAGGATGAAGATGAAGAGGATAGTGCAAATTATGAAATGGATATTGTTCAAAACAATGAAATCCAACCAGAAACCAGTGAAGAAGTTGAAACTGTACAGCCAAGTGAAGATAATGAAGACAATGAAGATAGTCAAGCAAATCAATATATTGAAAATATACCATCTACCTATGAAAATATTCTGGATGAATATTTTTGGGAATTATTAAATCAAGAACCCAGGAGACAAAGTCTTGTGTATGATATCTTTACAGAGCAAAATAATTCCCAAGCAGAGGAGGGCTACATAATAGACGATGGTGATGATGGCGAAGATGTCGAAGAAGATTTCGATAACAATAATGAAGAAGATGGATACAATGTTGAGGATGGCTATAATGAAGAAGAGTACTATGACAACGAGGGTGATGAATACTATGAAGATGATGAAAATCAAGAGTATAACGAGGATGGTGAAGAGTATTATGAAGGAGAAGGTGAAGGTGAGGGCGAAGCTGAAGCTGAAGCCGAAGGCGAAGCAGAGGAAGGTGAAGAAGAGGACGAGTATAGCAATAGCAGGTTAATAGCAACAAATAGACCGTTACTTAATTTTAGTAATCAAGAAGAAGAACTATTTACATTGCTAAGTTATTCATCAGCACAAAACTACAGTGGCGAAGAGTTTATAAATAATATCATCAGAATGAACTATGGTGAAATTCAAAATTATTTTGAACATTTTCAATACCAATGTATATTTGAACACCCCATCACTCAAAACTATGGATGCGTAGGCTGGTTCATATTTAATAAAATTAAAAAAGCAAAGTTATTCAGAGTAGAAACTGGCTCTAAATTCTTTCAACAACTATTAACATTTTATTCAATTCTCGTTCAAAACAATTCTTTCTCAAATCCAAACTCATTTGTAAATAATCAAAAAATCGAATATTTTTTTAAATGTTTAATAAAATTAAAAGATATTAAAGTAAGTTTTATAATATAAAAATTCAAATTAAAAAAATATACTAATTTTTTTTTTTAAAATTTTTTTATTTCAGAAAATTTTGGAAAATATTAGATTATCAACCAAAGATTTAACTCCAATTAAATTCACATTAGATATACTTGAACATCATTATCGAACCAATGATTCACCCATATTTTCATTTTATTTCGAAATTTTATCAGTGTCCGAAATGTTTTACAGTAAAATCAGTAATGACAAGTTATCAATTGTAAATAGACATTTGGATATGGTATTATCCTCAATCAAAGATTATCGTAAAATAATAACTGTACATGATAGAAAAAATATTCATTTAGATTATATAAAAAAACAATTGTGGTCATTACGTAACTTAACAGATTTAAATACAATTGACTCATATTATCAATAATAATAATAATAATAATAATAATAATAATAATATTTATTAATAAATAATAATCACAATTTAACAATTTAAATAAAAAACATTATTTATACCAATTTTTTCAAAAAAAAAGAAAACAATTAAATCAATTTTGAAATATTCTTTACTAATTTTTTTTATTTTTTTTGATTTGTATTTAATCGTATAATTTCCAAAAATATCATAATCACAATATTTTTGATGGATTGTTTTGACAAAAGAATATCACTTTTAAATTTCCTCTTTTGAAAATATTTTATCCTGAAAAAATACTTTTTTTTAAAAAATTTAAAAAATTAAAAAATATTTTAAATTTTTTTTTATTTTTTAAAAAATAAAATTTTTTTTCATTTTTTATCTATATATTATTTTATCTTTGTCACACTTTTTTTTTTTTATTCGTCCTAAGCGAAAACAATTATCTTTCTTTATTTAACTTTTTTTCTTTTATATATAATATTAATATCAATGGATATTAATAATATATAAATCTTTGTTTAACCTATAATAAATATTGTAGTTTTGTAATATAAATCTTTTTGTTACCACCTAGTAATAATAGAGAAAAATAATAATAATAAAAATAAATAATTTAAAAAACAACATTGTTAATATATAATAAAAATGGATGTAAATGAAAGAACACATTTACTAGGGTAAGTTTATGGATAACCTAAAGGTTATAAAAAAAATAATTAAATTGACATTAATATCTTTTTAATTAATAAATAATTTAGACAACCACCAACAATATTAAACATTATAGAGAATATAGAAAATGATATTGACGATAATCCATCATCATCAATGATGAATCCGTTGGGCAAATCAATGGAAACAATAGATAAAGTAGATGAATTAGAATTGTATGTATGATTTTAAAATTTTTAAAAACATCTTGAATATATATTAATTTTTTTTTTTTAGTACATATTGGATGATGAAAAAAAGACAATGGTCAAGAATTCAAAGAGGTACATTTTCAAATGAAAAAAGAGGATTTTCATTACTGTGGTTTCTATTTTTTATGGCAGCATATGGAACATATTTATTTTTACAGATTTATCACTTCGAAAGAAAGGATGGTTATATTTTAGAGTTTATATTGATGGGATTCATATCATTTTCACTAGGTTTATTAGTACCAAGATTTGCAATGATAGTTAGAATAGTATTTTTAGAAGGATATTCAACTCTATATCTATTCTTTATATTCAACCTCTATTACAAGAAACAGTATTATATACCATTAATATCAGTTGGAAGTGGATCATTAGTATTTACAATTATTTGTTTCTTTGTATATCCATACATTATGAGATGTGTATTCTCAATTACAGGTGCAATTACATTGAATGTGGATAAAGAAGAATGGGTAAAAGGTCAATCCAATCGATTTGAAATAGAAAAAAAGAGCATTTTCCAAAAACCAACCAAAGTTATCTACGAAGGTCCATTAATTGATGGCAGACCACATGGTATAGGTACATGGATGGATACATCCTATCAAGGCGAATTATTAACAGGTTACTGGGAAGATGGTATGCCATTAGGTCCATTCGAATCTTTTGTTCAAAGTGATACAAGATCTTTACTTGTTAATCTTCGTATTATTTATGGTACAAATGGTGGCGGTAAAAGTTTTATTGATAGAATTCCATTAAATACTGGTGTAGCTTCAATCGAATGTTGTGTTTCTGGTAATTTCTTTAAAGGTTACCCAAAGGTATCAATGATTAAAGGTCCTGATCTTTGTAAATGTTCAAATCAAAATTGCTCATGTATTAGCTCATTATTAAAAAAAAAATGTTGGAGACATATTGATGATGATAAACAATTAGTAGGTACAACATATATATATTTACATAGGTTTATTATTTAAATAAATTTATTAATTTTAACTTTATTTTTTTCTAGACATCAATTGTTGTTTCATTAGATAAAAAAATGGATACTTTAGCAATTACAGGTTATAAACCTGAATCTGGGAAAAAAAATAAAAAAATTTCAATAACAATGACAGAAAATAATAGGTTAGTTGCAGATAGTAGTTGGATTTCAAGTGAATCAAATGAAGGAATTTTATTCATTCATGGTTATGACCATGATTTAAAAGATGCTCTTAAAAGATTTGCCCAATTTTTAGCATTAGGCCATTTTCCAAATTATATTAAACCATTGTATGTCATTTTGTTATATATCAAAACTTTTTTTTAAACAATTTCATATATTAACAATTAATAAATTTTCTTTAATATAGTGTATTTAATTGGCCATCTTCAACATCACCATTACTTTATTGGTGCGCACATTCAGTAGCATCAGATAATGATAATCACAGAGATTTACAAAAATTCATAGAGTCTTTAGGACATGCTGGAATTAGAAACTTACATATTATGTGTCATTCAATGGGCACAAGATTCTTTTTAAGATCATTTAGTAAAATTAAAAAAGCATTCTCAAAAGAAAAGCACATTAAACCTCAAGAACATTCAAACCATCAAGTAAACAAACCAGAAAAGAATAGTAATAAAATCAACCTTACCAATTTAATCTTTTTGAATCCAGATTACGAAATCAATACATTTAAAAATGACTATGATGAATTAAGAACATATTGTCCAAGAATCACAGTTTATGCAGATCACAGAGATGAAGCAATTAAAATGGCATTTAGAATTACACAAAAAAGAAATCTTGGTAATAACATTTTTGGCATTCAAGATGATATGGGTGGTCTTTTAGATGTTGATATTATTGATACCGGTGATTTAGATTCAAATATGTCGGAACGTCATCATTCATTCTTTAATATAAATCGTTTAATGGTTGATGATCTACACGATTTAATTGTAACTGGTAAAAGAGCAACTGAAAGAACTTCAAGATTAAAGTCTGTCAATAACATTTTTAGATTTTCAATTTTACCAAGTAATGTTGTAGTTGTATAAACATCCTCATTAAATAAAATAAATAAAAATATTTTAATACATTCATCTTTTTTTTTTTTTTTTCTCTCAATACTTTCAAAAGCTATAATAAAGATAAAGATAAAGGTGTATATATAAATGAAAAAAAAAAAAATTAAATAAATAAATTTGATAATAATAAAAAAAATAAAAATTAAATATATGCACAAACAAAGAAAAAAAATAAAATAATACACATTAATAAATTATATATTTAAGAAATTTTATAATATTTGTGTTTTAAATTGCTCCCATCACTTTTATCCTAAATTGATGATGGTAACATGATTTATTTATTACTTATATTTAATTTTAACATCAAATTTTCTAATTTTATATTTTTATATTTTTATAATTTTTGTTTATTGAATTTATAAGTTCTGTACTCTAGAAGATGGTTTGCAAAGTGAAGTTGGTAAAACTGAGATTTGGGGTAAATGTTGTGGAGGTACCAGTGGTTAGGTTAGATTTGAAGACTTTTTAAAAAAATTAATAAAGATTTATATGTTTATATGGTTCTTATTAATAAAATAAAAATATATTTTTAGTTGTTTTTGTGGTAGCCATTAATTTTCATTGATATTTCAGGTACTTTAAAATTATTATTCAATCAAATTTATTAACCAATTGTTTTTTTTAATTATAATAATAGTTTTTTAAAAATTTTTCCACAAAAGGATTTTTTAAATGACATCTGTTTTAATTTTATATAAAAAATAAAACATTAATCTCATATCACCGCACTACGCAATGGTTTTATAGTGTGGGGTGTGTGGTACAAATTCCTTCTTTTAAAATAAAAAATTTTCAAATTTAAAAATTTTATTTTTTTTTTTATTTTTATTTTTATTTCACCCACATTGATCATCTTTTAACATTATTCATGTAAATAGTAAACAAAAAAATAATTATATTCCAAATATTAACAACTTTTAAAAAAATATTTTTTTATAATTACAGATATACAAAATAATTTATATTCAAAAATGGAACAAAAAAATAAAAAAATAAGAACCATCCCAACTGTTGATCCAAGAACAATAGAAGAAATAATTAATGAAAAACTTGCCAAGGATTATGAAAAGGAAATTGAAGAAAAAAAAGAAGAAATTATTGATAAGAAAATAAAAATTCAAAATATTACTACTGGAAATAAAAGACCATATTTTTATAAAGAAGAAATTGAAATTTCTAGATTAGAAAATGAAATAAAGGATTCAGAAGAAGAAATAATTGAAAAGACATATTTATTAAAAGAAAAAGATCGTGCAAGAGAAATCCATGCTTAGAAAAATGCAAAAAGAAATTGAGGAATCGGAACAATCCCTTGGAAACGCTCAAGAAGTTTATGAAATCGAAGAAACCAATCTTGAAATTGAAAAATCCAATTGTAAAGAAATAAGAAAAGAACATGAAAAGCAATTAGAAATTCTTGAATATGATATAGATGTTATAAACTTTCAAATCGAAATCATGATCAAAAAAAATAAAGAAAAGGAAAAAGAAATAGAGAAATTAGGAAAAAAAAATGAACACAGATATTTAAAGAAGCAAGCTTTCGAATCCCTTTTGTACCAATCTGTAGAAGAAACCGAGAGATTAGAAATGGTTCTAGGTCAAATGGTTTTTACAAGATTAAATAAAATGAACATTGATAACTAGATCATGTTCATAAACTTTTTATAGATAAATTTAATTTAATAAAAAACACTGTATATTTTATTTTTTTTATATTTTATTGATTTTTAAAATTTATTATACTCCATAATTTTTTTCCATTGCACACTGTTTAAAATTTTTTAATTTTTTTGAACAGTGTTAAATTTATTTTTTTTTTTAATTTTCTTTCATAGTATTTTTAAAAATTTTTTTTTTATTTTTTTTTTTTTCTTTATTATTTTATATACATACAAATAATCATATTTTTATTTTTTCATTATAATATTCAGCACATATAATAATTTTTAATAATAACAATAATAATTTTATATATTTATAAAATAATTTACAACTTAATTAATATTTAAAAATGGATTTATTACTTGTTTTTTACTTTTTATGTGGTATCGCCAGTTTCTCATTAGCATTTTTTATTAATAACAAAAAATACAATAATTATAATAATAGCAATCCACAAACAAATCCATATACTCCATCGACAGTTCAATCAAAATCCTCTTCATCAGCACCATCAGCATCAGCATCTGCCTCTGCCCCTGCACCATCTGCCCCTGCACCTGCCTCTGCACCATCTGCCTCTGTATCTGCATCATCAGCATTAGCATCAGTATCATCAGTATCTGCACCATCAGCATCGGCATCAGTATCGGCATCATCTGCATATGCACCTTCTGCCCCATCAGTATCAGCATCATCAGTATCAGCTCCTTCTGCTCCTTCTGCACCATCAGTATCTGCACCAGCTGCACCATCAGTATCTTCTCCATCTGCACCATCAGTATCTACACCATCTGCACCAGCATCTGCATCTGTATCGTCTGCACCATCACCATTATCAAGAACCAAGAAAATTAGAAAGCCAGTATCTAGAAATAGTTTTGCAGGTGCATCCACATCAACTGGCTATAGTCCAATGAAGAAAAGACCATTGGAATTAGATAATGAAATTAATTGTGATGGAACAATTTTAAAAAAACATAAACTCGAAGATGAACAGAGTTTATATAGAGACAATCAAATATTATTTGAAATGGAAAGATTAAGAGCAGAGAGAGAAAGAGATGAAAAAATAAAATTAGACCAAATTAAAAGAGCAAGAGAAATAGAAAGAATATCAAGAATTTACAGAGAAAAGGAAGAAACTGAAAGAATTCAATTAAATCAAATAATTCAAAGAGAACAAGAAATAAAAGAGGAATATGAAAAAAGAAAATTAGAGAGAATTCAGAAAGAATTAGAACAAGAAAGAGAAGAAAAAGAAAGAAATGAACAATTTAAATTAAAATGCATCCAAAGAAAATTAAGAAGAGATGCAACAGCAGATATTCAAAGAGAAAAAGAAGAAAGAAAAAGATTAAAGAGAATTCAAAAAGAAATAGAACATGAAAAAAGAAGATTAGAACAAAAAAGATTGGAAAGGGCCCGTTTAGAAAGGGATGACAAATGTACAATTTGTATGAACGAAATTGAGACCAGCGAACTCGCTTCTATTGCATGCGTTCATAGATTCTGTTATGTTTGTATCGAAGAATGGTCCAAAAGCTACCGTACCTGCCCAAACTGTAGATTACCATTTAACAACATCACAGTAAGTAATCCATTAAATTTATATTAATACATAATAAAAAAAATATATTAATTTATTTCATTTATAATTTATTGCAGAGAGTAGCTAGTGCTCAACGTTTATAGGGTAATGAAGATAGAGATGAAGATGACAATGATTATATAGATATCGATCAATATTGAAATTGATGGCGGTTAAATTAATAGTTTAAATTCTTTATTCATTGTTTCATTCATTAGAACTCGGTGAAGACTAAATTATTAATAAAATCGTTTCTTTCAATTATTGAATTCGATGGAATTAAGAAAAGTCATCCACATCATCCAAGAATCAACCATCTTTATCAACATTCGTAATAAGAAATAATGCATCACACTAGTTCAAATCTACAGAAAAATTCTAAAGGTCCCACGTTCAAATATTACAAAATAATTCCTAAGGTAACTATAATTGATATTCAGATAATTATTATTATTTATAAATATAAAAAATACTAATATATAATTTAATTCTTAGTTATGTTAAATCCAATTTTTCATTTGTTTCCTCCAACACACTCTTCATTTGTCTTCTTCAGGTAATTATTATTTTAATATTAAAATAATTATTTTTTTTTTAAAAAAAAGACACTAAAATTTAATTTTAATTTTTTAGCTCTTTCTTTTTCAATATCTACCGTTTTTAGTTACAAATCAAACACTGGGTATACTGCCTATTCTTTCTTTTCAGCATCAATCAGAAATCAATCATTGGGGTTCTTGTCTATTCTCTCTTTTTCAATATCGAAACATTTTAAGTCGCAAACATCGGGGTTCTTGTCTATTCTTTCTTTTTCAGTATCGTCCCATTTTACGTCACAAATCAAACATTGGGGTTATGTTATTCTCTGTATTTATGGTTTTTAATTTGGTCTAATTAAGCTCATCCATCAACTATTCCACCTTCAACACCTACACTAATAGAAGCTATCTAAATATTTCATTAAAAAAAATCAACTTTTTAAATAAATACATATAAACAAATATAGATATAACTATATAATTTCTTTTTTATTAAAAATTCAGTATCTTTCTTTTTATAATTATTTTTTGATTTAAAATATAAATAAAATGCAAAAATAGAAAAAAGTTAAAAAATTTAAAAAAATTTAAAAAAAAAAATATTTTTTCAAAATAAAATCATTTTAATTTATAAAAATTTAAATAATGTTTTCGGAACAATTACAGTCATATTTTGAACCAACATAACAATAATGATAAAATAATAAACATATGAGAAAAAACTATAGATCAATTTGTTTATATGATCAAATTTAGCATAATAAAAAGTAAAGTTTAGAATCAACCAATGGGTCTGATGACACCTTTAAAGAGCACGAAAGAAAAGAAATTATTAACAACTTTATGAAATCTATTGATCCGTATCAAATATTTGGCATCAATAATAATAGCAACAATAATCAATTCATTGATCAAAAAATGGTCAATAACAAATTTATACAATGGGCATTATTGTTTCATTCAGATAAAAACTGCAATTCCAAAGACAACTATTCAAACGAAGCTTTTAAAAAACTATCCGATTTCCGTGACAAACTTTTTAAATAAATAATAAACTATAATTTAAATACATTTTAAAAAAATTAATATATTAATATAGTTTATTTTTAAAATGTAAATATTAATATAAACTATATTTATTTAATTAAATTTTGATAGCAGTAATAAAAAAGCAAATTTTTAATTATCTTTAATTTTTATTTAATTTTATTAATTTGAGTTTAAAAATTCAAACATTTTAAAACCAATTTTATCATATCCAACACTGATTCTAATTTGGGTATATTGTGGTGATAATGGTTTCATAAAATTGCAAACTTTAGTGTGACATAAACCCAACGAAGTTTATGAAATTATATTTTTTCTTCAAGTTGTATGTATCATTATCAACCACACTTTTTCCTTTTTCATTAAACACTGTTTAAAATTTTTTAATTTTTTTGAACTGTGTTAAATTTACTTTTTTTTTTAATTTTCTTTCATAGTATTTTTAAAAATTTTTTTTTTATTTTTTTTTTTTTCTTTATTATTTTATATACATACAAATAATCATATTTTTATTTTTTCATTATAATATTCAGCACATATAATAATTTTTAATAATAACAATAATAATTTTTTATATTTATAAAATTATTTACAACTTAATTAATATTTAAAAATGGATTTATTACTTGTTTTTTACTTTTTATGTGGTATCGCCAGTTTCTCATTGGCATTTTTTATTAATAACAAAAAATACAATAATTATAATAATAGCAATCCACAAACAAATCCATATACTCCATTGACAGTTCAATCAAAATCCTCTTCATCGGCACCATCAGCCTCAGCATCTGCCCCTGCACCATCAGCCTCTGCCTCTGCCTCTGCACCATCAGCATCTGCCTCTGCCTCTGGTCCATCTGCATCTGCATCAGTATCTGCACAATTTGCATCAGTATCAGTATCAGCATCACCTGCACCAGCATCAGTATCAGTATTAGCATCTTCTGCACCAGCTTCATCAGTATCAGCATCTTCTGCACCAGCATCTGTATCTGCACCATCATCATCATCTACATCATCTGTCTCTCCACCATCAGCCTCTGTCTCTGCACCATCACCATCTGTCTCTGCACCATCACCATCTGCACCATCACCATCAACCTCTATCTCTGCACCATCACCATTATCAAGAACCAAGAAAATTAGAAAGCCAGTATCTAGAAATAGTTTTGCAGGTGAATCCACATCAACTGGCTATAGTCCAATGAAGAAAAGACCATTGGAATTAGATAATGAAATTAATTGTGATGGAGAAATTTCAAAAAAACTTAAACTCGAAGATGAAGAGAGTTTAAACAGAGATAATCAAATATTATTTGAAATGGAAAGATTAAGAGCAGAGAGAGAAAGAGATGAAAAATTAAAATTGGATCAAATTAAAAGAGCAGCAGATATAAAAAGAATATCAAGAATTTACAGAGAAAGGGAAGAGAGGGAAGAAATTGAAAGAGCCCAAATACTTCAAAGAGAAAAGGAAATAAAAGAGGAATATGAAAAAAGAAATTTTGAAAGAATTCAAAAAGAAAAAGAAGAAAAAGAAAAACATCAAAGCTCTAGATTAAGAAGCCTCCAAAGAAGAGAAAGAGAACAAAGAGCCGAAATTGAAGAGAGAAAAAGATTAGAGAATCTTCAAAAAGAATCACAAAAAAAAGAAAGAAAAGAAAAAAGAAGATTAGAACAAGAAAACTTGGAAAGGGACCGTTTAGAAAGGGACGATAAATGCACTATTTGTATGAACGAAATAGAGACCAGTGAACTCGCATATATTGCATGCGTTCATAGATTCTGTTATGAATGTATTGTACAATGGTCAGAAAGCTACCGTACCTGCCCAAACTGTAGAAAACCATTTAGGGATGTTAGAGTAAGTAATTCATTAAATTTATATAATACATAATATAAAAAATATATTAATTTATTTCATTTATAATTTATTGCAGAGAGCAGCTAGTGCCGAACGTTTATAGGCCTAATGAAGATAAATATGAAGATGACAATGATTATATAGATATCGATCAATATCGAAATTGATAGCGATTAAATTAATAGTTTAAATTCTTTATTCAATGTTTCATTCATTAGAACTTGATTAAGACTAAATTATTAATAAAATCGTTTCATTCAATGTTACAATTATTGAAATCGATGGAATTAAGAAAAGTCATCTACATCACCCGAGAAACATTCATCTTTATCAACATTAATAGGAAATAACACATCACATTAGCTCAAATCTACAGAAAATTCTAAAGCTTCCACGTTCAATTATAACAAAACAATTCCTAAGGTAACTATAATATTTAGATAATTATTATTATATTTGAATATAAAAAATACTAATATATAATTTAATTCTTTGTTAGATTAAATCCAATTTTTCATTTTTCAGTCAACACATTCAGTAGTCTTCTAAAGGTATTTATTAAGATAATATTTTGCATAATTATTATTTTATTTGAATAAAAAAAGAACTTAATATTTATTTCATATTTAGCCAATATCTTTCTTTTTCATTATCCACACGTGCTCGCTATTTAAAGTCTACAAGGGGGACGCTTAAGGTAACTATAATGTTAATATTTTCATAATTATTTTTTTTTAAAAAAAAAAAAGATACTAATATTTAATTTTAATATTTTTTAGTTTAAAATCTAATTCTTTCTTTCTCAATGTCAAAAGGTTTGCAAAGTATACATTGGGGGTTCTTGTCCATTCTTTCTTTTTCATTATCAAAATATTCTAGGTCACAAAACAAATTTTGGGGTTCTTGTCTAAGCTTTCATATATCAGAGATCAAGCATTGGGGTTCTTGTCTATTCTTTCATATTCATTATTGACACATTTTAAGTCATAAAACTATCATTGGGGTTCTTGTATATTATTTTTCAAATCGTCCATCAACTATTCAACCTAAGCCATCAGATGCAATCAAAATATTTCATTAAAAAAAAAAAAAAAATACACATATAAATAAATATCAGCAGATATAACAAAATAATTTCCTTTTTATGAAAAATTCAGTATCTTTCTTTTAATAATTATTTTTTGATTTGTTTGTCTATATAACATTTTGTTAATAAATAAAGTTTTCATCTAAAAAAATTCCATACATATTTATATTTTTTTAATTTTTTTTTATAAATTTTTTTTTTTTTTTTTTGATTAAATTTTTATGTATATTATTAAAAGAATGATTGTTAAACAGAATAATTTCAATAATGGATTTAACTAATATGATTTATAATAGCCTCGATTATAATATCAAATAGATGTTTAGTTAAATGATAATCCTTAGGTCCTTAAAATGTTTCGAAACATTTTAAGTCACAAAACAAACATCGGGGTTCTTGAATATTCCTTCTTTTTCAGTATCGACCCATTTTACGTCACAAATCAAACATTAGGGTTATGTTATTCTCTGTATTTATGGTTTTTAAATTGGTCTAATTAAGCTCATCCATCAACTATTCCACCTTCAACACCTACACAAATATTTCATTAAAAAAAATCAAACTTTTTAAAAATAAATACACATATAAACAAATATAGATATAACTAAATAATTTCCTTTTTATAAAAAATTTAGTATCTTTCTTTTATAATTATTTTTCGATTTGAAGTATAAATAATAATAATTAACCAAAAATTTAATTATTTTTTTATTTTTTTATTTTTTTTTATCATCATTTTTATAAAAAAAAAAAAAAAAAAAAAAATTTAATTTAAATGAAAAATAAAAAAAAAAAAGTATTTTATTGAATAGATGGTTGTAAAAAATTTTACTGAGGAGTTTGAAAAAATCCTTCACTTTTGAGTAAAGAGGGGGAAAATGAAAACAAAAGTTTAGGCCCCTGCTTCATTTTTGGGGAAACCACTTTCCATATTTAGG